CGGCATTAAGTATGCCCTGATGCCTATCAGATATGACGCCAACCTCCCTGCTAGGCCCAACCACGTGTATCCGAACTAGCCTCAAGAATCATCCTCAACTATCATTGTTCTCCTTCTCAACCAAGGCAAATGCCAAAGAAACCAACTTGTTGTTCGCGTCACAGGATATGGCTATAAGAAGTATGCCCTGGTATTTGCCAATCAAGAACGTACCATCAATGGAGAAGACAGGACGACAGTGCCTAAAGGCCTTGACACACTGAGGGAAGCACCAGAAGGCATGGAAGAATATTTGCCTCCCATCCTTCCATGCATTATGTTTTGGGATGTACTCATAATGCATGCCTGGATTCACCGCTTTGATTACATTGAAAAGAACTGGCAGCTGCTCATACCCATCCTCCCAGTCCCCATATATCATCTTCCACGCTCGCTGCTTAGCCCTCCATGCTTTACCATAAGTTATCACATATCCTCCATACAACGCCTCAACGGTCCTGATAATTGTCCTCACCTTCATGTTGGGTTCTCCCTACAAAATTCCCATCAACCGCTTAGCAATGAGGGTAGATGTCATCTGCCGATGCCTCAGTGTTAGCTCATGGTCAGCACAATTGTGTGGCCCGATAACTTTTGTGATCTTCCATTTTCCGGTTACCTGTTACTTCCTTGCACAAACCCTCTATAGGCAGCGTTCCTTGTCATACACAACTGTGTAACGGTGCTCCGCATATGAATGCAATACCCTATAAGGCCTCTTTTGTATCACTGCAAAAGCCTGCAACCACCTCTTCAAAGCAGGGAGGTCATTGAACACCCTCCCATTCTCAATTACCATGTTAGGACCGGCCTCAGGAGCTTCTAGGAGCTCATCATCACGTCCTTCTGCAAACGCCTGATCGGAATGAGCAAGATCGCTGAACTCGTGAACTCTAGAATCACGGCGGCCGGGAAAGATACGCCTCATCATCTCAACATCACTCTCCATCAGCTCTCCAACAGGGCGATCATCATCTGAATCAATAGCCCTAGCCATCTCATATGGCTCTCGAATCATGCATAATTTCAACACTATTGGAGCCACGAAATCCATCTCCAAAGCGCACTTGCAGCAGCAACAGGGGGCACATCCATATTCTCATGAATGTCTCCTGCAACATCAGTACAAAAATGAGGAAAGAATGAAAGAAATAGATGTAAGAAACGTGGCAAGCTCCCAAAAACCATGTGGTTAAAACACTTACTCGGATGATTCTATGTCAAAGGGATCTCATAAGGAGGATCTGCCATGGAAACATGAGTCTGACAACCATCTCCAAATACCGCATTGGGGGTAGATTGAGCATCGGGAACCGTAGGTGCAATCGGCACATGCAGGTAAGGTTTCGGAACGGGAGGGTCGATGTATGCCTGATGATCCATTGCTGGGGTAAACCCATGAGGGATGTGATCAACTAACACCCGACACACAACCACGTCCAAACATTGCAGCTGGCTCTTCATAGCCGATCTCACATAGTTCCTCCACTGATCTGCACAACCAATTGAGATCATTCGCCTAAAGATGTTCGGAGGAGAACCTAGGTGAAGTACACCATCAACTGCAATGCCATCATCTCCAAGGCAATGCAGCTCCTTCCGAGCCTTTGCAACCATCTCACTAAATGAAGGTCTATCATTGAATAGCACAGGCACGCTTTGCATGTCAAGAAACTCAACATATCCATAGCGATCGCTTTCAACGGTGCCTCCATGATATATGGTCACTAGGTTGTCCATCTAGTTCAAACATGTAACGAAACATATGTCCTTTAGTCCAAATTAGACAATAAATAGTACCTAACAAGTACTTTCTAACTACAAACTAAGTAATCAAGATAATAACTACGTATATATTTACAGTGTACTCATTAAATAGCTAGATCATATGTAGTTAACTAAATATATAACTACATATCTAAATAGCTATCTAACTATATCTATGTACCTATGTATCTATGTTTCTATCTATTTATATATATATATCTCACTAGATCACTAACTAAATCAACTACTTGAGTCATTACATTAACTAGTAAATAACAAATGCCAACTAAGTAGGTACATTGCATATTCATAATTTTTACCTTTTTGGGCCAGCGGACGATGGGCGTGGGTCAGGCCGAAGATTCGGGGCAGGTGGTGCTGCCAACGACAATGATGGTAGCCAAGGTGCTGGATGCCTGGGGCTAAGCGCGGTGAGTCCGGCTCGATGGGCGTGGAAGCACGCTTGGCCGGCGGTGAAGGCGGACGGCCAGGGGTGGTGGCAGGGCAAGGTGGGCCTGGCCGAGGCCGATAGTGGAGACCAAGGCGAGGACGGCGGTGGAGGGCGGCGGAGGCGGCGGCGCGCTTGGCCGGCCCCCATGGGGGCAATTGGCCAGCGTGGGAGAGGCATAACAAAACAAAGACTGGCTGGGAGGGATTGAAACGCAGGCTTGGCCTTGGGCTTGAGGCAAGAAGGCGACCTCGGCCACGCAGCGGCAGTGGGTGGCGCAAAGATGGGCGCTGAGAGGAGCATGAGCAGAGATGGAGAGCTGGCGGGGCGCGACGGTGGTTCGGGCGGGGCAGTGGGGATGGCGCTGGCACGGCGTGTGGCGCGGCAAGGGAAGGGGGCGGCAAAGGTTTCGGCTAGGGCGAGAGAGGGAGAAGAAGAGAGGAAAGGCGCGGGGCCGTTAGATATTTCCAAGCTCGGCGCCAGAGTCACTGGCGCCGAGCTCGGCGCCAAGATCTATGGCGCCGAGCTCGGCGCCGGAGTGACTGGCGCCGAGCCCCCTGGCAGGTCATCCCAGGGGCTCGGCGCCAGAGACGCTGGCGCCTACCTCGACGCCAGCATCAATGACGCTGAGCTAAGGGTCCATTTCCTGAATTCTTTCTGCCAGGGGTCTATTTGTGATAAAATTTTAAAAAAGGCCAAATTGTAAAAAAATCGGTTGCCGTTGCAGCATCGCGGTTGTGGCCTTGTGGCGCCTAGCTTGGTCCTCGCCTCTCGCCTAAATTTTAGAGTAGTCTCAAACAGGTGGTAAGTTAGAACTAAACTTTAGCCCACCTGATATTAAAGCTTTAGATCTTAAAAAATAAGCTAAAGTGCTCTAAAGTTTTAGATCTCTAAAGCTTAGAAGAGATGATTCAAATAGACGCTTATACTAGCTCCGAGTGGAGTTAAATAAAAGCAACAAGTAAAACAGTTCAAATGAGATAGAGCGAGTTGAGCATGCAAAATGAGAGGCTCAAACGGAACAGATATCTGGATACCTAGAAGATGTATGTCCTGTTCGAATCTATATAGGATTATATGAATCATGATTCTCAATAGCGATTTTAGAATCCAGATTATAGATAACAAAAATCCCTCCCGTTTGGACCTTGAATTCTAAGATTGAGATTATAGATATTTGAATGCTTCTTTTCTCCATGATGCCCTTCATAATAATGGCTTGTGACATTAGGACTTCCTGACATCATGCAATTTGGCCCTGATGCCCCTCAAATTTTTTTCCTGACATCATGCAATTTGGCGACAATTACAAGCGAGAACGCTGCTTAGCTTTCCTTCATAATAATGGCTTGTGACATTAGGACTTCCAAGTCGATGTTCACCTTGCAAATGTTCTTGTCATTTTCATGGCGTCAAAAGCACCCAATTACTACAATTACTAGCCCAAAACAAGTGCGGATTTACAGAGCTAGACTACTCATGTTAGCCTCTACTATAGATCAGTCTGTTCGGTTGGCTGATTCGTATCGTTGCTGGTTCGTGAAGAAGTACTGTTGGTTGGTTTATGTGAGAGAAAAATATTGTTCCAGTTGGAAATTTACGATCGTTTACGACGAGCCACAGCCAAACGAATAGGCTAAGATCATTGGAGATTTGAAGTACAAAACGGGGATAAGGACTAACAAAACACTAGTACGAGACACAAAAGAAAGAGACACTAGCCCAGGTGTGTCTGAAATTGCTGACGAGCGACGTAGGTGTGGCCGGCGATATGCATGGGCGGAGACGGTTGCGCTCATGCTCGGGCGAGCCGGAGGAAGCGATAGCAGTGGCGGCGCGATTGAAGCCAACTTAATAGTTATCCAAATTACATAGTTTGAATCATGACTGATTTCAATACCAAAACTGATTTAATATTGAACTTAATTCAATGCTACATAGTTATCCAAATAACATAGTTTGAATCGTGACTGATTTCAATACCAAAACTGATTTAAATATTGAAGTTAATTCAATCCTACGTCCCTAAATATCTACACCCAGACGTAACCTTACATTAGTCAATCTTTTATTCTCCCATCCAACACACCTGCAAAGAAACAGTGGAATTGCTTTGTTTATGGTGTTTTACCGTATTGTGTCCTTATTACGACGAGTGTACATGGCCGAAATTGTTCGCTGCTTTGCGTCCTGCTCGTTTTTGTTACCGGAAAACCAACGGTGCAGAGGAAAGGAACGACGGAACTGGCCAAATCACAACGGGAACGTGTTCCCACCGTAACCGTTGCGATGAAAAAGGGCACCGCCCCGTCATATCTAACCCCGCAAAACGACAGACCGATCGATCCCCCCGCCGGCCCGCGTCTGCCGTTGCCCCTTGCGGCCTGGCGTCACCGCCACCAGCGAACCGCACGGGCGCACGCATCTCCGCGCGCCACGGACGCCGCCTGCGGCCTCGCGAATCGCGTCGCGTTGCGGGGGTCCCTTTCGGCCCTGGACCCCGCTGCCGGAATCGAATCTGCCCTCCTCCCCCTTCCGGCCTTCCCCTCCGTCCTCCCGACCCGTGACGACGCATCGCTTCGCACCCTTCCCCTCTCTCGTGTCTGGCCGCATCTCCGCCGCGCCCCTCCTGACGAGCCGCCACCGCTTCCCCTCCAGCGGTCAGGTAGGGGTCTCCGCCTCAGTGCCTCCCTCCCCTTTCTCTGCCTCCTCCTCGCCCTCATCCTCCGTGGTCCGGGATTCGGCGATGCGCCTTTTTCCTGAGCAGCGAATCAGTGACGCGCTTGTGTTTCGGGTCATTGGTGCTCGTTTTATTGGTCGGGAAGTAAGCGAGATTCGGTGGTTAGCTGCCATGCAGATCTGTGAGCTCTCGAGCGTGGGATCGCGTGCTGGTTGTTCGGGGGCTATCGGGCTTTTTAGACCTGAATCAGGTGGGGGAAAAGGTGGAGTCAATTTTGAGGGAGATGCTCATTTCCCCCTTCGAATTAAGTGTTTCCGTGCTTTCGCTCGAACTAATTGGAAGCGCGGGGACAATTTCAACTGACGAATCAGCTGGATCTGACCTGCTCGATAAGCTTTCATAGCCGAGTGTGATATGCATGTGAATTTCGCAGCGATTGCATTCGCTTTTCCTTAATCATATTTGCGTTTGTCTGCAATTTAGGCAGAAGATGGAGGGAACGGGCAAGGATGGCAATCCTTTGAGGAATTACCGGATTGGTAAGACTCTGGGGATTGGCTCTTTCGGTAAGGTGAAAATTGCGGAGCATATAAGCACTGGACACAAGGTGGCAATCAAGATCCTCAACCGTCGTAAAATCAGAGGCATGGAGATGGAAGAGAAAGGTTGGTGTCTCATGCTTGCTTGCCTTGCCCTGTTAACCTTACTAATTGAATACAGTCTAGTATTACCTATGTGCAAACATCCTCCATGGGAATTCGATTTTAGTCTAATAAACCGTAGTTAGTTTCTGAGGACTATGCGATTATCTGGTTTAGTGGTATGTGTTAAGGTTCTCCACCACTGTTATTCTGATTGAACTTCTCATATGTCATGACACTGTCCTTGCATTATAACGTACATAATTACAAGTGATATAAGCAACTTGCAAGCGCACCACTATTTTTCTTGCTATTCATTTGGAAGGACAACTGTGCATATTTCTTTGTAACGTTGGCTGGGACTAATGATTACCTGCAACCTTTAGCTAGTCAGGATTCCAATGAATATCATTCATCTTCTAGATTTGCTTTTACCTATCTGGTTGCTAGATTGTTGTGTAAACATTCTGCCTGAACTGTTTGATGTTTTACCTTTTTGCAGTTAAAAGAGAGATTAAGATATTGAGGTTATTTATGCACCCACATATCATCCGCCTCTATGAGGTTATAGACACGGCAGCTGATATTTATGTTGTTATGGAGTATGTTAAGTCTGGGGAATTGTTTGATTACATTGTTGAAAAAGGTAGGCTGCAGGAGGGAGAGGCTCGCCGTTTCTTTCAACAGGTGTTGTTTTATGGCCCCGATCCCTTTATTGGCAAATTTCTATTTTATTTCTTTGCTTTGTTTACATGTGCTACAATTGCATGATAAATATACGGTGACTAGAAGACTTCAGATCAAAACGTCTGTGTTATTCCTCTGAAGTGCTCGTGTGTGATAGTATACTCTTTCCGTGACCCTCTTGCTACAGATTATATCCGGTGTTGAATATTGCCATAGAAACATGGTGGTGCATCGTGATCTAAAGCCAGAAAATCTCCTTTTGGATTCAAAATGCAACGTTAAGATTGCAGATTTTGGCTTAAGTAATGTTATGCGGGATGGCCATTTCCTCAAGACAAGTTGTGGTAGCCCAAATTATGCTGCTCCTGAGGTAAGCTTTCTCTATTGAGTTGAAGATAAAGGAGAAACCAATAGATCAATGTGGTGCTGTATTTCCACCCTTACAGTATCCTTTTATTTTCTGTAGGTGATATCTGGTAAATTATATGCTGGGCCTGAGGTTGATGTATGGAGCTGTGGGGTTATTCTTTATGCTCTTCTATGTGGTACTTTGCCATTTGATGACGAGAACATTCCAAACCTTTTTAAGAAAATAAAGGTTAGAAAGCATCTGCAGTGTTCTATATTAGAAATGTACATTATTACTTGGTCGTGCTGATTTAGAGCTTATCTATATCTCCCCATCTTGCATTTTAGGGTGGAATATATACACTTCCTAGCCATTTGTCAGGTGCAGCAAGGGATTTGATTCCAAGAATGCTGGTTGTTGACCCAATGAAGCGGATCACCATTCGTGAAATTCGTGAACATGATTGGTTCAAAATTCATCTCCCACGCTATTTGACTGTGCCTCCTCCAGATAGTGCACAACAAGTTAAAAAGGTACAGTTTGTTCTTCATTACTTTGCATTGATGTAGCACACTCAGCTAATATAAGCTACCCACTGTGCTTTGGGTGGCACTTGTCCTAAATATTTCTCCCTGTGATATTTGAACACTAACCCCTAATGGGCCACCGCAGCACCAAATGGGCACATATGTCAGCGTCATTGAATTGGGATAATTAAGTACCCCTCCGTTCCAAATTATATAGTTCATTTTAGCTTAGTCCTAAGTCAAACTTTCTAACTTTGACCAAGTTTATAGAATAATTCATCAACGCCTATAATATAAAGTTAGTTTCATTAAATTCTCCATGAATTATGTCTTGATAGTCAATCTATTTGAACTTGTAGATGTTAATATATTTTTCCTAAAGACACGTTCAAAGTTAGAGAAGTTTGACTTGGAACAACAAAGCTAAATGGAACTATAGTCTGGAACTTAGTGATTACTATCTATTTTCTAGGTTGTAGCACCTCTCTATATGAGATCATGGTTTACATTTTCAGATAGCAAGCATGTTGAACCAGAAATGACTCCACTCTACGTTTAGACTCTACATGTCTGTCCAAAAAGAACCCCTTCTTCGTCTGATAACATCCAGGGCTCCCCTGTGTGGTGTTTACCTTGTTATGATATAGACATCATTAACACTGTCCCTTTTTGTGTTATATGTTTTTGCTGCATTGTTAGTATCTTCTATCTTATCAAAGTATTTCATCTTCCTAATTATGTTTTCTGTAACCTTTTTTCTTTAAACTGTATATAGTATCCACAATATTTTCCATTCCACTTGTGTAACCTTTTTTCTGTCTTGTGTGAATGTGATCTACTCTAGCAGTATTGGGTCTGCATTGTGGTAGCATGCTTTTTTTTCCCCTTCTGGCCACGTAGTTTACATAAGTTAATGTTTAAATTTGCTCCCCCTTTTGTAGATTGATGAGGAAACTCTCCGTGAGGTTATAGGTATGGGGTATGACAAGAACCTGTTGGTGGAATCAATCCAAAACAGGCTGCAAAATGAGGTATTATTTCTTTTGCACTTTATTGTCTTCATACATCTTTTTGTACTGTAATGATCATGACTGGATCATTGGACTTAAAATGTGCAGGCGACTGTTGCTTATTACTTACTGTTGGACAATAGGCTTCGTACAACCAGTGGCTATCTTGGAGCTGAATGTCAAGAAGCTATGGTGAGCAAATGAGTCATATTATATTTTTATCTCTTGATAGTTTGGCTTTCTCTATTGAGTAATGCATCTTCCACAGTTCCACATTATATATTGTTTCTGTGGTAATTTAAATCCAGGCAATTTTCCTCATCATATATCGTTTGCTGTGGTAATTTAAATCCAGACAATTTTCCACATCATATATTGTTTGCTGTGGTGACTTAAATCCAGACAATTTTTCTGTTTTGTTTTCTTGGCACATAGGACTCCTCATTTTCAAACATAGCATCATATGAAACACCAAGTTCAGCACGCGGTAATCGACAGCAAATATTTATGGAGTCTCCGGTTGGCTTGAGACCGCATTTTCCAGCTGAGAGGAAATGGGCTCTTGGGCTTCAGGTAATCCAATTTCAAGTTGTCTCTATTGTTTAACTATTTGCTTCTTCCATTCAACATTTCTTTGTTTTGTGTTAGTCGCGAGCACATCCAAGAGAAATAATGACTGAAGTGCTGAAAGCTCTGCAAGAATTGAATGTTTACTGGAAAAAGATTGGTCACTATAACATGAAGTGCAGATGGAGTCCTGGCTTTCCCGGTCAAATTCATAACAATCATAACTTCAGTGCAGAGTCCATTGAAACTGATGGCCAAAGTGAGAAGATAAATTTAGTTAAGTTTGAAATTCAGGTATGGTTCATGTTTTTTTTCTATTTCTGGTATATTTAATATTTATTAATGTGTCAATAGAAGACCTTCTGGTGTGATTTACAATCTCCTACTGTCTTTATACCCTCTGGTTAATCGCTGGGACCTTTATAGATGTTATATAGTACTGCAAATCTGGCTCTCCCCCTGAGATCCCTTGCGCTTCGATATCCTTTTATATATATACGAAATGTTCAGTTGTTAACATGTGGAGATAGCCCATTATTTTAAGGATGGGACAGCTTCACAAATCTCGTGCAGTACAAATTGCACTTGCTTTCATATCCCATGCACTCTGCCATCCATATGCTTGCTCCAATAATGATGATTCCATCCGATGCAGATTTAGTCAAGACTTATTTGAATTGAACTTATCGTTATGTACAACACACTATACGTTTTGTTTCCACATATATTTACCACTTATGTTGCGCACTAAATTGTGGCGCTGACATACCTGCATTTGATGCAGTCTCGCATGATCAAGAATCCTATACGACTGGGACCACATTTTCTTTATTCATATTGTGCGCTGTTTATTTTTCATCTTTGTGATGTGTCGTCTCTTGTTGCAGCTTTACAAAACAAGAGACGAGAAATACCTCCTCGACTTGCAAAGAGTCAGTGGACCACAGCTCCTCTTTCTGGACTTGTGCGCTGCCTTTCTAGCTCAGCTGAGAGTTCTTTGATTCCCTGTGTCTGCTTTCGATCAATTGCATTCCTTGCATTACACTAGAGAAATGTCGAATTGCTCACAAAGCTGTAAATAGTAATCATATCTCCAGTAGTTTGATTTCTGGAGTATGTAGATTGTAGACATGCGAAGCTGTTGTGCCTGGCTATCTTCTGAACCAGACTTTGTGGAGCTAGATGGCTCCTGGTTCTTTACAGCTGGCCGGCTGCTGGTGAAGGCACTAGGATATACAGTGAACTAGATCAGTGCTTTTGCTGGCTTTAATGTCTATCTACATGAATAATTTCAGCTCTCATAATGGTTAATTCAAAGCTGAGCAGCGTACAGGTCAAGTGAGATGCATTTTAAGGCATTGTTTACAACCTTTTGTGGATTTTTAGTCTCTACCTAGTAATCAGTTTGGCACTACTTTTGACTGGAGTTAGGTACACGAAGCAACTTTAGTTTACACTCATGTGGGAGCGCGACCGGATCTCCTCACCGGAAAGAAGCTTCCGTGACCACCATCGCCGCTAGAGAAGAAGCCACCGCCGGCGTACCTCCTCCATGGCCGCGCTTGCTAGCAGCGACCGCCCGCGCGGCTGCTCGTCCGCCTGCGGCACGGCTCCCCACGCCTCGCCTGTGGCCAGAGAAGAAGCCCCTAGACCGCTCCTCCCCAACGCCCGTAGCACATCCCTCTCGGCGTGAGGTCCGTCACCCAGAGTCGCCTCCCTCCCGGCACTACTTGACTCAACGCGGCTCTAGCGCCTCCGGCGAGATCCGATCTCATTCTTTTGGCCGAACAAGTTTGAGGGTCATATTTTGAGGACCACTGTTGGAGTGCATCTAAACAAACATGATTAGAATAAATTTGAGGGCCATATTTTGAGGACCACTGTCAGAGTGCATCTAAACAAACATGACCCTCAAAAGTAGGGAAAACCCTCAAATAAAAAATAGAGACCCTGTTTTGAGAGCCATTGCTACTTGCTTGCTGAATAGGCTCCTGGTTCCAAGATGATAACAGATTATAAATGTTTAATCAAGACTGGTGGATAAATCGGGACTATAAGCCAAGAAGAAGGTACTCGATCAGTAGATCTTGAGTTGGACAAAATAGGGGAAAAGGAGAACGTGTAAGAGTATGTTTAAGAGTCTTTGTTAACTCATTCTTTAAATCCTTACTTGAATCAAGTAGAAATCGTTTTCCATATATTTTTATCCTCCAATAACTTCTCTATATCTTTTACATGTTTTAGAGAACCAGTCCCTCTATTCATTTTGGCTAACGAGAAGAAATAAGGAATATAGGATGATAATGTTGGATATCTAATTAAAGAAGCTATCCGAAAGCATTTTTTTAACCAAAATATCTATTCATATTATAAAAAAAATATAGAGAGACTCTTGGAGTTGCTCTAATGGATGGTTGCTCATAGCCTGCCATAGCTTTGATGTCATCCTCCCTCAGGGATTATGGTTTGATGGGGATTTAATAAACTCCATACAATCTCCTTTAATCCCTTTGAAGCAAAAAACCTCTGAAAAAACAAGTTGAAAAAGACGGATTATAAGAGAATCGAACATGGCCACAATCTCCTTTAATCCCTTTGAATCGAGATTACCTGGACAAGGCCTCAGTGTGTTTTGCTGGTTGTGCTTGTTGTTGTAGAAGCCACTTGGCCTTCTACATAGTCTGAATTGTCAATATTGACTAATTTAATTATAATAAACAACAAGAACAACCACTAGCAAAAAGACAAAACTTGTTAAAAGCTAAATTTGGCAATTGAAATAGGGAGAGTAAATCGAATCAATAGTTAGTTTTGGGGGCTATTTGGATATAGGTAAAATTTAAAGGGACTAATTTGGACTTTTTCCTTCTTATTGTCCTTCTCAGCACAACTGTAAAGATATAATGTACACTTCATATTAAAAGCGGGAAGAATTATTTCGTAAGTCGTCTGACATGTTTCTGTGAAATGTAGATCCATGTTATCGTTACCTTCTATGAAGTTTCATTCTTGTTTAATTAGATGACATATATGCAAAAATGATGACGTGACATATATGCAAAAATGTTTCATTTTATCATTCACGCCTCACTCTTAAAAATAGTATAATGAAATCTAGCATTGGAAAATCATCCAGACATCCACACCTCACTTTCAAAGTAGTGTAACGAAACATTGATGCCTTGTTTGAATGCGCACGTATTTATCTCAATCGATATACGTCGGAGTAGATTGAAGTAAAACTAAACTAAATTATATTCTATTCTTAATACATGTGGATTGATAAGGCATGAAAATGCCCTATTGAATGCATCATAGTGATTGCTACGGTAATGCACGCGACGGTATGCTACAGTGCTTGGCGGCCAATCTGGACCGCTCGCTTTTGATCCCGTGCTGGCCGTACCTACTTCTAAGTGCTAAGCTGCGTTATTAACGACCACAAAGAAAATTGTCGTTACGAAGAATTGATCCAAAATTCCAAATGACAGGTCATTGCACTTCAAAGAACGAGAATGATTTAGATTTAAAAAACGACAATATTTGTAACGGTCTGATTGGGTTTTGACCAGATTTTACATTACAGTACATAAACCCACGAAAGAATCACATAGCAAAACGGACTACGCTATCTTAATGAATCTCAGATCCAGCAAAGACAAAAGGAGAAACAACGGAGGCCTGGCGAAAGCAAAGGTCAGATGGAGCAATCCCGAACAACAATCCCGAACATCACTTCAAGCGGGCGTGCGCGGCGCCGGAGGGCGGATCGCAGGAGAAGACCTGACGTGGGAGGCGCCACGCCTCAGTGGCCCCGAAGCACATGTCATCGAGCGCCTCACTGCGGCACCACCGGCACCCAACTCTCGCCGCGCAATCGCCCGGCGTCGCCAGATCCTGGCACGGCGGCGGCCCCGTGCGGGCCGATCCGACCTTGCCCTTGCCCTTGCCCGCCCCGGCGGCAGCAGCAGCCGCTGTCGCGCAGACGAGGAGGACCAGCACGGCTGCGGCCGCGGATCTGGTTCTTCTGGCCATCTTCGGATGCAGTTGTCAGGGGTCCGAAGGGAGTCCCGAATACGGCGGCTGCGCATGACACAGTGGGGGTGCTGCTTTTCTGTTCCAGCGGTGGGATTGACGAAAGGTAGTCATGTGGGCCGGCCCATAAGAGCAATGCGGTTCCTTCGTCCGTTTCAGTTTTACATCAGCCCCGCCCAACAGCACTTGCTACTGCACTGAAGTAAATTTCCATTTCCCACAGTTTTTTGGTCGAACTTTTTAAGATGTGCATTGAAGCTCGGCCAGAGGGCCTTTCCGACTCATGGCACGTTTTCTAGTTCAGTTGGGGGAGATGCATGCACGGTGCGCCATCCAACTCTTCAGGTCAGGATAAGTTGAGTTGGAAGGCTTTCCTCTTAATGAAAAACGGGTAAAAGACCCGATCGCGAAAAAAAAGTTGAGTTGAAGTCTCACTCTGATCTCTACATGTATGTTCTGCCATGAAATTATCCTCCAGTGGTTCTAACCGTACTCGAATGTTCAATAGGACCCTCCAGTAGTTCTAGTATTACCGTACTCGAATGTTCAATAGGACAGAGTAGCTAGTATAGCCCCTGAAACGGAGCCTGAAGAAAGATATGCACAATTGCCGACTTACACGAGGAAATAGACCAACTGTGGGTCGACGCTCTTAGGAATACGTCTAGCGCGAGTGCTACTAGTGGTAGCTAAGAACTCCGCCAGGCAGTGCGCAAATGCCATGTAGCTCTGGTAGCCGTTGTCGGCTTTGACTCGTCCACCGGGATTGCCGACGTCGTTTGGCACGAGTCCACGGGCGCAGCTGTGGTCGTAGTGCCAGTCTCCGGTTTTCCAGTCGAAGGTGTACAGCGGCAGGAACCGGTGGCCGAAGCTGGCGACGAAGGCAACCGCGTCCAACACGAACTCGGCCTCCCGCATCGACGTGTAGTAGGCGAGGCTGACGCGCGTCCACCCGGGTCGCACCCCGTGGTAGCCCTGCACATATACGTGTACCATCCGAGTAAAACAAGTGATCAATCGCTGGATCGACGTGTAATCATTGGGTTTACCTGCTCCACGGCTGATCTGATGGCTTTGGCGCGCGCCGGACTGATGCCGAGGAGCCGGTGGGCGTAGGGCCCCGCGCACGCGCACCCCGCGCGCGCCTGCACACCGAACAGGTCGTTCAGAAGCTTCGCCACGAACCGGCAGTGCAGCTGCAGCCTGCTGCCCCATCCGCCCTCGGCCTCGGGAGGCTCGGTCGCGTCTCGGTCTCGCGGGGCGTACACCACGAAGGAGAGCACCGGGAGCCGAGGCGCACTCGCGGCGTCGTCGTCAGCGCCTTGCAGCAGGCGCAGGTTGGGGTTGGCCCCCGCGGGGACACGGCGGAGAGCCAGCGCGAGCATGCGGGCCTCCTGCGCCTCGATGCACGCCTCCCCGACCCACTCCTTCACCCGGAACGCCAGCGCCGCCCGGACCTTCTGTATGATCGCCGGCGTCCCCGCGTCCTCGCGCTCCTCGGCGTCCTCGCAGTACACCGTGTCGCCGTAGGCGCTGACGTAGTGCACGGTGCCCCCGCCGCAGGTGGACGGCGCGGTGCCGCGGAGGCGGTAGAGCCGCGACGCCATGGCCAGCACCCCCGGGCTCCCCGGCCCGCCGAGGAACTTGTGCGGGCTCAGGAACACGGCGTCGTAGCCGTCGTCCGCGTCGCCGTCGCCCGACGGCCGCATGTCGACGCGCACGTAGGGCGCGCTGCACGCGAAGTCGAAGCAGGCGTAGGCGCCGTGGCGGTGCAGGACCGCCGCCACGGCGCGGGTGTCGGTGCGCAGCCCGGTGACGTTGCTGCACGCGGAGAAGGCGCCCAGCATGGGCCGGCCCGACGGCGCGCGCGCCGCCAGCTCCGCCTCCAGCGCGGCCAGGTCCAGGAGGCCGTCGACCCGCAGCCCGATCTCCACCACCTCCGCGAGGCTCTCCCGCCAGCTGAGCAGGTTCGAGTGGTGCTCGTAGGGCCCCACGAAGACCACCCACCGGTCGGGCGGCCGCAGCGCGGCCAGCACCGCGGCGCGCAGCGTGGGCGGGACGGCCATGCCCGTCACCTCCTGCAGGCGCTTGATTGCCGCGGTGCAGCCCGTGCCGCAGAACAGCAGCATGTCCTGCGGCCCCACGCCCAGGCTGCGCTTCACGTACCGCGCCGCGTCCCCGGCCAGCTTGCTCGTGTGCAGGCCCACGTAGCTGTCCGTCGTGTGAGTGTTTCCTGCCAAAGTGCCAATCGCCGTCCACATATGTATAAGCACCGAGCCCTTTTTGTTTGTTGATTTGTTGAAGAAAATAGTTGCTATTCACGGTACGTGTGCTACTCACCGTAGAAAGGCAGAACGTTCCTAGTCACGAACTCCTCGACGAACCGCAGGCAGCGGCCGGACGCCGTGTGGTCCGCGTACGTGATGCGGCGAATCCCGAACGGCGACGCGAACTCTGCTTCCGCGCCGATGATCTGCGACCTCAGCCACTCCAGTTTCTCGGTTGATGCGTCGTCGTAGTCTGCCTCGGCCTTATTGTTGACGTCGTCACCGTGGCCCAGAACAAGACCATCGAACAGGAGGCCATCGGAATGCTCTGCTGCTGCTGCTGCTGGCACTGCTACAGGAGATGCAGCGCCGGTAGATACATTATCGGTTGAAACGAGTGGTGGCATATCCAATTGGTGAATAAATGGTGGTTTAAGCTGATGGTAATCTGATCCGATCGAGTGGGAAGACAAGAGATGTCGCTGAACCAAGGATCGTTTGAGCAGGCATATATAGGGAGCTGAGGCTAGCTGCTCTTGCGGCCTTCACGTAGAAGTAGAACCAACCCGAACATTTTCCTGTGTTCCGTGATCTGTGTGGGTGGCTGCCGTGCCGTGGGAGACGGGACGAGCAAACCAAGGACTGATCACATACCAAGGGGCCGGCCGGACCGGCAATACCGCAGACCGCCAAATGCAAGTGCAGAAGTGCTACACGCCTACACTTGTGAATTGTGATCGGCATGGCCACCTGGGTCTCGGTTGCCGGCGAACGAAATTAGGCAAATGGTGCCCGGAAGCCCGTAGGCGAGCGCGCGAAACGGTGGGGGCGTATCGGTTCGGTGGGCTCGTGGCCTGGACCTGGATGGCCCCTGGGTCTGATTCGAGATCAGCAACGCGGCGGGCTGGAGGCCGGCCGCGTCACTCCACCAATCAGAGCAAGCAGAACATGTCATTCTGGCAGGTGTGGGGTGGGCAGTGGTTTTGTGTTTGCAGTTGGAACCGGCCCATTGGAAGTCTTCTCTGGTCGGCGCAGCGCGGTTGCAGGCAGCATGAGCTCGCCCTGCCCAACGAAAACATGGAGTTAAAGGCCCATCAGGAAGCATGAGCTTGGCCCGTCCGAAGAAAACAATTTGGCCCGTCTTATACGCAGGGACCTATCCAAACAAACAGTTATCACATAGCCACTGGTCTATCACGTCAACTAGGGCGGCCTATCCAAAAAAAGATATAATTAAAGTTGGGCTGTATTTTAGCCACTGGATGTTTTCGCAAAAACATGTGAGTGTCGGAGAGCGCGAGTTGATTTTTGATAAAGTGGAGGTCTTTTTGCAAATGTGCCCATCCGGTCTGGATGAGCGTTGATTTGGAAATAATCGAGGCGTTTTTTTAAAAAAATATGAGAGGTGTATGGGTTGATTTCAAAACTTAAAGGGTTTTAAAGTAAAACGACCATTATCACGAAGCCGTCCATGTGGCCGATCAAATCCGCAATGAAAATTGCGTTTCGCGCGCCGTGGCCACACCAAATCATATCTTTAGATTGAGGTTTTCAGATCTTTTGGTACTGGTGTATGGTTGTCAGCGAAGTGCAAACACAAATTGAAAGATACGACGTGATCCGTTTCATTCTACAGGATAATTTCGGTCATGGTTCATTTTCACATATCACTTTCTTTCTCCAGAGTACACAGCTCCACTCCACCTGCTATTCTCTATTCTTCTAACATGTTCTTGGCCATGTTCCTCGCGTCACATATATACTAAGGCCTCCACGCATGGAGTCAATTCTTGACAAAAAGATCTGCAATTCTACATGCTGCAACACAGCTGCAACTTGCAAAAGCCGGAATAATGCGCTGAGATATCAGTGTACAGATTCGTCTCGTAGCACAATAAGCCGAGAGGTTTGGCTCGTCATTGTACCTGAAAATCCCGACCCATTGAGAATATGAAATGCAGGAGTTTGTGTAACCAAGCAACAGACCATCTGAATCTGAATATATCTAAAATCAACCACTATCAATACACGCGCCGGTGGAAGAACCTCCCGCGGACGTACACGTGGGTCCACCAGAAAAATCTGAATACTGTATGGCTACAGTCAAGCCCTGTTTGCTACCGCTTATCTGGAAAGCGCTTCCCAGATAAGCTGCACAAATAGAATAAAAGCGACGATCAAAATAAGCTGGTTTGATGTAACTTCTGCTTTTTAGTATAAATGGGAGCTATGAGAATAAGCGTGGTCAGAATAAAGCTGCTGAAAAACGTAGTATTTGGCTATTGATTTCATCTTATTTTGATCATAAGCGGCCTATAAACTGTACAGACAGGCCTAGGAAAAGATTCACGGAGGACATTTTGTCCACACTTGAGCCGATCAAAGAAAAAAATCTAAAAAATTAAAAAGAAAATGAACAGTATTTAACAGTGTTCCGGAAGTGCGGAGGAGGCAGGGATTCCCGACGCGTTAAAAGAGTAGTTACATCTTTCGACTGTTAGCACTTAGCAGCTTATCATACGCATATATATCTGCTGATCAGTTGGAAAACTTGTTGCTGTCAATAGATGCACATGAATATCCTTGCCGGCTGCAGTCAGTCCTGTCATCGCGTTAACTATCGTGGATGAGTATTTCTTAGCTCTCCTGGATCCTGGTATTTCTCGACCCCATATGTATGGCCGATCATGGAGAAAGGCCCGCCGGACGGATAGAATGGTTATTTTTGCTACA